CAGCCTCCGTCCCCGCAGCCCCCTGCTGCCTGGGAAGGGCCGTGGGGGAGGCCGGAGGCGGAGGGATGAAGGGGCGCCCTGCCTCCGGCCGCTGGGACACCTTCTAGAGGAGGCGTCTCTGCGTCTGCACGGATTCCTGGGAGGTAGCTGGGGAAGACAGTGGAGGTGGGGGGAGAGGTGCAGGCGCAAAGGTCGGAAGTGAAAGAGGCAGGGCTGTGCAGGACGGAACCCCGTTTAATTTCCTGGGTTCGAGAGGCTGTGTGTGTTAAGCAGGGGCCTTGGCCTTTAACCCAAAGTGATCCACAACAGGCCTTTGGCTGGGTGGTTAGATCTATGCTTTAGAGAGCTTGGGAGATACACTGGAACACAAAATAGAAGGGGCCACACATGTCAGGAAAACCAGTTAGGAGATTACCGCAGTATTTAAGGAAAGAATGGAGTCCTGAACTAAGGAGGTGGGGGAAAGAGAATTTGGAAATGATGCGATGGTCAGTGATGCTCAGTCGTGTCCGACTCTTTGTGACCCCATGGACTGCAGCACGCCAGGCCTCCCGGTCCATCACCAACTCCCAGAGCTTGCTCAAACTCACGTCCATTGAGCCCGTGATGCCATCCAACCATCTCATCCTCTGTCGTCCCCTGCTCCTCCCGCCTTCAATCTTTCCCAGCATCAAGGTCTTTTCCAATGAGTCAGTTCTTCGAATCAGGCAGCCTAAGTACTGGGGTTTCAGCTTCAGCATCAGTCCTTCCAATGAACACTCAGGACTGATCTCCTTTAGAGATGCAACGGTAATTGGAAGACAATATGGCACAGGGGGGCTGGAATCAGACTCCACTACAGGACTAAGATGACTCTCAGCATTATGATTTGGAAACTAAGTCTGCCGTTTTCAAAATGTGTTCCATAGATGTCTGCAGGGGTAGGGATCCCAAAGACCCTTTCAGAAGGACCAAAAGGTCACAACTATTTTCACAAAAAAATTATGATTATGACATTTGTCTTTTTCAACACATTACTGTTGGCTCTGATGATGCAAATGCAACGTTAGTTAAAACCATTGGTGCCCTGAAACAAATCAAGGCAGCAGCAGCAAACTCTACTAGCAGTCCTTGTATCACCACTCCCCGGGTCAAAAATAAAGCCGGTGTACTGAAAAATGTCCATAATGAAGCAATATAAAGAACAGTCTGATGGGTAATCCAGTATTGCAATCTGGAAGAATTGCTTTTCTATAGTTTCGTTTTGGCTAATACAGATAATAAGGAAATGGCAACCCACTCCAGTACTCTTGCCTGGAAAATCCCATGGACAGAGGAGCCTGGTAGGCCGCAAAGAGTCGGACACGACTGAGAGATTTTACTTTAATGAAATGGGGGGGGGGGGAGTTTTATTCCTCTCTTATGTGGGAAACGTTGATTATCATTTAGCCACATTCATTGTTGTTTAACTTCAAATCAGCCCTATAACAATAAAAAGGTATTACCCTGACCAAAGTTAGAACTTGAGCAACAAGATATGAAGAAATCATTGGATGACTTAATAAATGAGGAGACAAATTTCCTACATGGAAGAATTCCAAATGAACCATGTAGGTACATTACCCTGAAGGAGGGAGGTAAAGGACCTACTCCTTAGGTGTGGGTTGCATACCTACTTCCCAAGAGGAGGTACACAGTGGGGTGTGGGGGGCAACTTTACAATGGGGAAGCCTGACAAACACGACCAGGTGATCAAGGTCAACATCAGCAGTTCATAAACCATGATGATCGCATGGAGCTTTGATATGATGTGATGAAAATGACACTTTACCTCTGTGATCGTCTTCCTCCAAACTCATAAACATCTAACCATGAGAAAAACATCAAATAAATTCCCATAGAGACATCCTCCAACATACTTGATCAGCACTCCTAAAAACTGTCAAGATCATCAAGAACAAGAAGAGTCTGAGAAACAGTCACAGCCAAGAGGAACCGTAAGACGTGACTTCTAAATGTGAGGTGTGTATCCTGTCACAGTGAAAAGATATTAGGGTAAACTAAGGAAACCTGAATGAAACACAGACTTTAATTGTTCTTAACTTTGCATTATAATAATAATATAATGCATCAATGCACCACAGTAAAGTGAGAGGTCAATAATAGGGGGAACTGCCATGGTGGGGGAGGGTGGAGGAGAGCAGAGGGGTTTATGGAAGCTCTGTTCTACCTGCTCGATTTTTCTGTAAAACTTTTCTAAAAGATAGTTTATTAATTTAAAAAATCCTAATATTAATTGGGAATAATTCTACCATCCATCACTCTAACCTTACAGAATTTAAGTTCTATAATGAGATATCCTATCCATAATTCAATTCAGTATTTACCACGTTCCTATCAAGCATGCCTCTGAACAGGTGGGTACTGGCTGTTAAAAAAAAAAAAGGCTCACCACCTAGTTGAAGACAAAAGGTATTTTAATTGGTAATTACTATCCTGAGAGGTGAGTATAACTGAAGAGCACAGAGGTATGGCACAGAAAAGGTGCAGAAGCAAAAAATAATTGGGCTGGGCCTAATTTTTTTTTTTAATCTGTCCTAAGAATCTTCCCTGCTTTCTTTTCCTTTTTGCTGAAAATGAAAGCACTGTAGAGGCAACAGTTTATTTACCATGGTGTTTTAACGTCGCATGTACAATGGACAAAATATACTTTAGAAAATGCCAACGTTTCTAAAACTGTTACAAGTATAAAGGAATTTCATACATTTCAAAGGAAGTGAATATTAAAACTGGGATAAGTAGAAAAAGGAAGGAGCTGAAAATGAACATATACAAATAAAAAACAAAGATAACATATTGAAAGATGATACCTAAAATAGGTACCCAAAAGGTCGAGTAGAAGGACAAAACTTTGGGAAACAGCAGTTTTATAATCTGCATGTCTCTGAGTATAAACTAGTAAGGGGGGTGGATGGAGAGTGAAGACAGCACTTAGCAGCTGCTCTCTGATAGGTACACATGCAAGAGAGAGTCTCTATTGTCGTTGGTCAGTGGCTAAGTCGTGTCTGACTCTGCAACCCCATGGACTGAACCACACCAGGTTCTTCTGTTCTCCACTGACTCCAGGAGTTTGCTCAAATTAATGTCCATTGTGTATACGGAGGGTGTCTATACACATTATAAAATTTAATCTGAAACAGCCCCTTGAAACGAGGGTCTGTTATCTTTTCTCCACAAAACTCAGGTTTACAGAAATTAAGATGACTTACAGCAGAGCAAGATTCCACATTCTGTCCACCTGAAAGGTAAGCCCTGTTCATTTTGGTCTCACCTGACCAGTAACCAGGCCCTGGTAATATGGCAGAATTCACCCTGTCCCTTTCCACACAAAGCAGTCTTACTATTTTAATGTCTCCTCTACTAGGATTCCACAGTGTTCATTTCATAGTCAACCGCATGGTCCACAGAACACTTCTAATTATGGTATCTCATTTACTAGTTGGCCCGGCGTTGAGCTTCCAAACTCCCGAGAGTGGTTTTCAGTGTCACTACCAAATTCACTCACAGAGGCCACCAGTTTTGCTTACGTTCCAGTCATAAGCTTGTTGGAAGGCCTCCCATTTCTTACCATCACGCTATTAGCTCCCTAAGCTTTATACTGGAACAGCACAGCGTTTTGAGGTGACTACAAAAAGGAGCCAACTCCCCCCTCATCGAGAAAGCCATCATAAACCATCCTAAATGGTATGAAGTTTCCTGGGCCTCTTCTGATTCAATGACACCTTTTTGTGCACTAAGTCAACTTCAGCCTTGTCCGACTCTGTGCGAGCCTACGGACTGTAGCCCACGAGGCTCCTCTGTCCGTGAGGACTTTCCAGGCAAGAAGACAGGAGCAGCCTGCCATTTCCTCCTCCAGGGCCTTCCCGACCCAGGGATCGAACCCGCGTCTCTCATGTCTCCCACACTGACAGGCGTGTTCTTTACCACTTAGCGCCACCTGGGAAGCCCGTGTCACCTTAGACAAGACCCTTATTTCCTCACGGGGAAATTTGGGAGGGAAACAAATTATTTGCCGGCGTCCGGAGACTGTGGTGAAAAAACGGTGAAGGAGTTTTTGCCTGAAGCGCAGACGTGATTTCGAGGCCCCGCGGGGCCGCGCGGCACAAAAGGCGCGGAGCCGAGAGCCCGGGGCCGCCGCCTCCCGGTGCATCTCGGGAAGGCCCCGGGCCGCGCCGCCGCGCCGGGGCTCCCGGCCTCCCCCGGTGGCTCCACTCGGGCCCGAGCAGAGAGGCGAACACTGCCTGCCGGCGTCCGGCGCGAGCCGCCGCGGGGCCCAGGAAGCTTCCGCACGGCTCCTCCCGCTCCGGGGGTCTTTGTTCCCGCAGGACGTCCCCCACCCCACTTTCTCGCTCCGCAAATCCGGGCTGCAGGAGGGTCCACGGCTGCTCCTACTTGGAGACACCCCGATCTTGGGGGCGCTCCGGGGCGGGACGTTAGCAGAGGCAGCGAAGGGAACCCCAAACCTGGATGCTAGGGGAAAAGGAGGGAAACACTCGCCGGACCGCCTCCTCGCCTGACCGCTCGGAGGCGGGCAGCGATCTCCCGCGCTGGCGGCTGGCGCGGGCTCCGCAGGGCGCGCTGGCGGCTGCAGCGGCGGGGCGGGGCGCGGCGGGCCGGCCCTGGGTCTGCACGTGGTGGAACCGCTGTCCCCGTCGGGCATGGCCCCCGGAGAGCCACCGTTCTCTTGGGGAAAGGGGCAGTGCCACCCGCCCACCCACCCCCGGCCCCGCTCCAGAGAGATGTCTACGCTTCCTCTTGAAGGGCTCCAGAACTGGAGATTGGGAGGAGAGAGGGACCGCGCGGCTCGGCGCGAGCGTTTTGTTTCCTGCGCTCGGACCACTGAATGGGGAAGCTGCCAGGCAGGGGCTGGGTGACATGGGGTGGAGGGACCCACCCCCACGAAGAGTCGTGACCAAGTCCGCATAGCAAAGGGCAGGGGAAATAAGAGGGTTGATGCATACCTCGGCGGGCGCGCTGGAGCAAAGTGCAAGACAGGCATCCCTGAACGTGGCTGTCGTGGGGCTCCAATGGTCCCAGCAGGCCCGGGTGGGGCGCGCGGCGGCACACTCGGTCCCCTGCGCGCCGCGCTGTGTTTACATTCTGCAGCATCTCCACGTTGTGCCGCCATCCCCGCCTCCCATTGGCCAGCTCGCCAGGCGGCTCCATGCTGTGCCGCCGTCCCCGTCTCTCATTGGCCAGCTCGCCAGGAGGCTCCACGCTGTGCCGCTGTCCCCGCCTCCCATTGGCCAGCTCGCCAGTCCCCGGCGCCGCGCTCCGCCCGCAGGGGGCGGGCCCTTAGGGTCCGCGCGTCTCCTCAGAAAACCCGGGTTCCTGGAGGCCTAGGCGGGACAGCCAACCTGCGCCACAGGATGGCCACTTCCTAGCCGCTCTGTGCCTCCTGCCCCCCACCCCCACCCCCGAGCCGCCTCCACAGGGCCATACGCCGGGGCCGGGGTCTGCGGCCTGACACCCCCGGCCTTCGAGAGTTGAGAGAGGAGGGAGGGAACAGAAACGTACTGGCGGGAGATGACGAAGTCGAGCGGCGGGGAGCAGGGCTGAGGTGGCGGTGGAGGAGCGGAGCCCTCTTGAAAGGCTCCCTCCTGCTGCCGGGCCGCGCGGGCAGGGGCAAGGCAGGGGGCCGCGGTGAACCAGCCCTGGGGGCCCTCGAGCCGGGCGAGCGCGGACGGAGGCCAGGGCGCGGCGCTGCGCGCGCGGGTGGGCGGACGGCGGGCGCGCGGGGGAGGGGAGCGCGCAGTCCGGAGGTGTCAGTCTGCGGCGCATGCGCGCGGGGCGGGCCCGGCCCGGCCTATATATTGGGTTGGCGCCGGCGCCAGCTGAGAGCCGAGCGGTAGCGGGTCTGGCGGTGAGGAGGTGCTGGGCGCAGGGCGGGATGCGGGAGGAAAGAAACCCCCCCCCCACCCCTACCCCACTCCTCACCCCCGGGTCGATCCATCTCGCGGGCGGGAGCCTGGGGGGGAGGGAAAGCGGGCAGGGCTGAGAAGCAGGCGTCTGGGGACGCCGGGTTCCCGCGTTCCGCGTCCCTGTCAGGACCCTTGGCAGGGGACCTGGGAGGTGGCAGGGGATGGAAGGCTGCCCCTAAGCGGGAGGCCCGCGGAGCAGCCCCTCATTCTCGGGGCTTCTCTGTGCCGCCCCCATTGGGGGAGCTATCCCCTCAGGAAAGAGGGTTGAGGGTCAGGGTCTCCTTCACGGGGACAAAAGTTCCCAGAGCCGACCGGTTTCCCCACACCACCACGGTTTCCCCCCCCACCCCGATCCCCACTTTTTAAATGGAACTGCCTTTTCTTCGTCCTCATCTCCCATCTGGAGTCGGGGTCGCAGTGCCCCTCCAGGCGGTGGGCAGGGGCCGGCGGGGCCGGGAAGGAGGGAAAGGAGACTGAAGGACGTGACACAAGTTCCCTCCGCCCCCTGCTCCCCCGCCACCGTCGCTCTCCAAATTGGCGCGGAACGGGCTTCTCCTCAGCGTCTCGCCTCCACAACGCCCCTCTCCCCGCGACTTGTGCAGGGTGGGAGGTGGGGGAAAGTGGGGACGCTGCCCAGGCCCCGCTCGGGGTTGGGGTTGGGGGTCCGGGGGAGAGGGGTACAGGACGCAGAAAAGATCCCATCTGCTTCCCTGCGCGTTCTGAGGGAGCTTTGCAAAATGTTTTTGAAGACATTCCCGTCCGGGCTGTACCTTGAGTTGAGGGAATACAGGCATGTGTCTAATAAATCATGCGTTAATATAGTGCAGAAGTCAACGCGGTAAAATGGCTCGGGTCATCTGAGGAACCTAGGTGTAAACCTCTGACTGGACTTGCAGAGTATGAATGACCACGTATTTGACTCTGGTTTTTCCTCACCCCCCCTCCCCCCAGAGGTTTCCTTCACCTGAAAGAAGAGAATGTCAAGACGCAGGTAACATTTATCTTGGAAATATGTTTCAAAGTTAGCTGCTGCCTTTGAGATGAATCACTTTCTAATTAAACTTCCTTCTTAAAAACTCTATAGTAGCCGTTTACAAGCTAAACAGCAGCCCCAGGCCAGTCAGACGGATTCCCCGCAAGAAGCCCAGGTAATTCAGGCCAAGAAGAGGAAAACGGCCCAGGTGAGTTAAGGAGGGGAAGAGAGGAGAAAGAAAATTCCTTGCTGGGACCTTAGTGTAACCATGACGTTTTTATTTTCCAGGATGTCAAAAAAAGAAAAGAGGAGGTCACCAAGAAACATCAGTATGAAATTAGGGTAATGCAGAACTGGGCTGGGTTTGGGGGACACAAATGCGGGACCCAAAAAAAAAAACTTGTGTTATTGTTTTGCGGTAGGAAGATTCCTCTGACACTTCTAATGCCCCTAGGGGTCAGCAGGAAGGCGCTTGTCTTTGGGTGGTTTTTATGTCCCTGAATCCTACTACAGCTGCAGAGTAAGTTTGCCTTGACGCAGCTGGTTCCTCTTTGTAAATCCCTCCCTCCAGGAGCTGCCTGGTGCACCAGGGCCCGCCTAATCTGTCCAATGCAGTGCTCTTTGTTCCCTCTCTGACTATAGTGGAGGGTCCTAATAGCTGCTCCTAGGGCATAAATAGGATGTAAAGTCGGTGACACACTGGCACCCAGCCCTTTGCTATCTACTCTGCCTACGTGTTGTAGAGAAAACACTGTAGAAATAGTGGTTCTCTTTGAAACCCTCATTGACTGGAGAAAGGGCCCTTTAGATACTTAAGTAATTGTTTCTACATTCAAGGTTTTGCCTTCGTGTATTCTAAAGTTTAAGGCCTGAAACAGGCCTTAAAGGAGTGGAGAGGGTGGGGAAGTGCCCTGGACACTATTGCTAAATATAGAGGAAGAATTTTACAATATTGAAAGTGCTATTTGACTACTGATGCATTTTGTTGTTCTTTCTACTCTCCCTCAATACCTAATGTCTTGTATTTCCAGAACTGTAATTTGTCTAAAACATCCTACCTGTTACTATTTATGAACAGTGATATGAGTTACAGGACTAATTATTAAATATGAATGTCAGCTTAAATTAACTAGACTGTCAGCACTGTTAGCTAATGATGGTGTTCAGGGGAAACTATAGACTGTTTAGAAGTATTAGCTTTCATTTAGAAAAGATCTCAGACAAAAGCTGGTTTCTTACTGTACAAATGTATTCTTGTTTTTTAAATGACAGAATTGTTGGCCACCTGTATTATCCGGGGGGATCAGTCCTTGCATTATCATTGAAACACCCCACAAAGAAATAGGAACAAGTGACTTTTCCAGATTCACAAATTATAGATTTAAAAATCTTTTTATTAATCCTTCACCTTTACCTGATTTAAGGTAAGAAAAATTTCAGTAATTTAATGTCAAAGATTAAAATTTACTGATGTAATATATGGTGCTATTTTTACTTATTTTTTGCCTTCACTATAAGATAGAAACTTGTAAAAACTGCTTTTTAAAAAACTATAGTCTTTAAGCATATGTTTTCTGGCAGTAGTGCTATTGCAGATGACATAGGTATTTAAAACATTGATTGTATAACATTATTTTCATTTGCTTGCTGAAGACTGTAAGCCTTATCAGAACTGAATCACCTTTTTAATGGAGTTTAAGTAATTTATGTACATTGTTAAGCTGGAAGTATTTTAACATGTACAGCATTTTGATTTGATAGATTAGCTCCGCTTATTTCTTACCAAGATTAGTTATTAAGGTCTGTACTTCTTTTTTATAGTTAATGAATGACTAAGAGGTACAGCTTATATAAAATGTGTAGTAATTTATATTTGGCTTTAATAAGCAAATTAATGGACTCAAATGTTTAAACTCACCCATCTTACTTTTGTCCTGTTCCACCTAACTCCTACTGCAAAGTATTGACAGTCTGTTTGGAGGTGATTGAGACTGTGTCTACTGGGATCATATGCTCTAAATATTTACTTTTTCAGTATTGAGAAGACATGGTTATTTTAAATCTGTGCCTTTGTAAAATATAAGTAAATGGGGACTAGAAGGCATTCTTGAAATGTCAATTTAGATTATCATAGTTCAAGTTCTTTGTATAATTTCATGTTAAAGAAATGGTTTCTTAAAGTAGCAATTTTTCCTAATTTAAGAGCTATTCCTTCCAAATTCTAATTCAGTGTTTGGAAGTTGAGTTTACTCAGTGTGAAACAGGTAGCTGTCTATTATGTAGATCAGACAATATTTTTCGCCTTTCCATAGCTGGGGATGTTCACAAGATGTTTGGCTAAACATGTTAAAAAAAGAGACCAGATATGTTCACGACAAACATTTTGAAATTCTGCATTCTGAGTTGGAACCACAGATGAGGTCAATACTTCTAGACTGGCTTTTAGAGGTATGTTCTAGCAGTACAAATTTCTTTTTTCTCTGTATGATGGGAAAGTATTTAAACATAATATGCTTCCCATGTGCCCTCATGGTATATTACCTATTGCCAGGAGCCTTTTTGTTGTTGTTTAGTACTTATTTGGCTGTACTGGGTCTTAGTTGTGGCATGTAGATCTTCAGTTTCAGTATGTGAACTCTTAGTTGCAGCATGTGGGACCTAGTTCCCTCAAATCCCTGCAGTAGGAGCACAGAGTCTTAGCCATTGGACTACCAAGAAAGACCCCAGGAGGCATTTTTTGGGTGCTGTTCACCAGCAGATGATACCAAATGATAAGAGTAAAATCTTGACACAGCCACTATATCCTATACAACCTAAATGCAATTTAGAAATCCTGGTATCTGAGTATTGCTGTGTACTAGGCACTGTTCTAGGTGCCAAGGATACTCGACATGAACAGAATTTGACAAGGTTTTGAATTCTGCCGTGCAAAGTGAAGAACCAGGACTAGGCTTCAGGACCCTCAGAAGTCCTTCATCACCAAAATCAAATTATGATTTGGAATCCTAATTTCTATATCCTAAATGATAAGGAGGTTTTGAATATCCAGTAGCCCTAAGCTCTCAAGGCTTCATGTAACTTTTATTATATCCCTCTGTTCCTTTCAGAAATAAACTGTACCATTACAGAAATAATTAGTGATCCAGAAGTCCCTAAAAAATCTGTGCCAGAATGTCTGCTCTCGTTTAGGCACCATATCCTTTCTGGATAATAATTCTGAAAGAATCTCAAATTATTATTGAGAAAATGATTACCTGTATTGATAACAAACTGATTTTCCCACAATCCTTAGATACTTGCTCTGTAATCTCCCTGTTTTTTATAGAGACAGTGAACTTTAAGGGGGAAGTACCACATGGCAGAATAGATCTCAGGAGCTATCAGAAAAGTTCTTACGAGTACAAAATATTGTCCTTCTGAATCCGGTCATCTTATTCCTTATTCTGACTAGAAGGGAAGATTATATTTCAATCATATGTGTACAAGACTGTAGTTGATTACTGACTTTTTCTGAATGTCTAGTGATCATGAATGCAACTTTTCAGCATAATTATGTTGATTTTATTTTTCCTTTTTATGTTAAATTGATTTTTATTCAGTGGTTGTCTATCAAATTTATCCCTATTTTCCCTTAAATATATGATTACATATACAAAACCAAATAGAATATATAGTAAGTCAAATCCAGCAGAGCCCTAATCTCTACTTTGTCTTAGTGTAGTCTTTCAGTCTAGGAATGCAAAAATGGTTCAACATTTGAAACTCTATTTATAGTTTAAGGAAGAAAAATCATAAAGTTATATATCATGGAAGTAAAAGGTATTTTTTGAAATTCAGTACACATTCCTGATTTTAAAATGTGTAATAAACTAGGAATAAATTTCCTTAACACATTAAATGTTTATTAGTAACACATTGATGTCTATCCTTTCCTCCCTGCTTCATGAAATTATTTTGAGAATTAAAAGCTTTCCCTATATTGTGGAAATGACAGATACTACTTATTAGTAACAGTACTAGTGTTAACATTAGGGGAACTCCCATTACAGTCAGAAACAAGGAATACAATAAAAATTTTGACCATTACCAGTGTTATCCATTCAGTTTTCTTCTTTAGTTCTTAAATGAGGTAAGAACATTGAAGAAACACAGTTGTCATTTTGTAGTTAAATGTATATCTAAAATAATGAAAGGAATCACTTGGAACTATCAGAAAACAAACTAAGCATCATGAAAACACCCACCCATTTATCAATAAAAATTAAAAAGTTAATAGGAAAAAAGTTCTCATCCATAGTTAGCAAAATGAATCTGGGAATAAACATATTAAATCCATGTGGAAAAAAACCTATGAAACTAATTAAGAGTCAGTGAGGATGGTAATAGATTAATTTATTCTATTAGCACATGTTACTTTTTCCTGCATTTGTGATTTGGTATCCTAAAAAAGTTGGGCTTCAGAAAACTGTTCTTTAGTATGCTAAGAGGAACTTTGTAATTTGGAGAAATTAATGGAATAATATTTAAATGTTTGGATTCTTCTCTAGGTATGTGAAGTATACACACTTCATAGGGAAACATTTTATCTTGCACAAGACTTTTTTGATAGATTTATGTTGACACAAAAGGATATAAATAAAAATATGCTTCAACTGATTGGAATTACCTCATTATTCATTGCTTCCAAACTTGAGGTAAGCTCTCGGAATTTATCCCTAGATACATTTACCCCAAACTCTTAAATTGTAAGTCTCTGGTTTGATTCTGGAACTAGAATCTAGGTGAAATGTTCCATGACTCACTGTGCCAATCAAAACCACCAATGCTGTCTCTATATGCCTAGTTATGGTGCTTGGATTCAATAGAATGGTCTTTGAGACCTACTTAACCAATCAAAAGGAATAAATGCTATCTTGGGTTAGAATAATGATCTATATCCAGCCTAATATTTCTGTATCTGATAATAGTGCCAGGATAGAAGGAAATAATTTTTCTGCCTGAAATCTTTTTTCACATAGTTTCCATCTACTTTTCTTGAATTCAACACAGATCATTAGTAACTTCATCTGATGTTTTCAAAGCCTGTACAGTTTTGAGAGTACGGGAGGGACTGAACCATGCATTAATTTCCTGAAGTGTATTTTTCTTCCACATTGTTGTCTTTTGAGGTTTATGGGCTATCCCCAAATTTTATAAGTTTCTATTCAGTATCTCCTTATCTGAAATAATACTGTATGTTTCAAATATTTTTCTAGACTGAATCTTGATCTTTAGCCTGTTCTCACCTGTGGCAGGCATCTCTTCTACTCTGATCATTCTGGTTCTTGTTCTCTGAATTAAGATAGATCAACAAACTGCATAAATTATTGTTTGACTATCCATACTTTTGTACTAGGGTAAGGTTAACATTTTCAGTTTCTAGACTTTGTTGAGTATCCTGTTTTAGTCTATTATACCAAGCAGTCCTAAAACAAGTTTGGCTTTTTGTTTTAACCAGTCACTGAAATCACTGGTTAAAATACTCTTAATTGTTTATTAACTAAGATTTTAAATCAGTTCTATAAAAACGTTTCAGTCAATACAAGTTGGCTAATTTAGATACCTAGATATGAAAATTATTAAATGTAAGGTTGCTTTGGCTGCCACAGAATTATTTTATAATCACTTTGTGACGCTGTCTTTTAAAAACAAAGCCGAGATGTGGTTTGTATATGTGGTTTTAGTCTCAGTCTCAGCTGTGCTTGATATTAATTAAATCCATTTTAAAGGAAATCTACGCTCCTAAGCTCCAAGAGTTTGCTTATGTCACTGATGGTGCTTGCAGTGAAGATGATATCTTAAGGATGGAACTTGCTATATTAAAGGTAATAGTATCTTTATTATTTCTACTTGCAATTTAGTAACTATAGTTTACTAAATCTCAAAGACTACAATGTAAGTAGTGAAAACTGAGGTTTTAGTATTAGGATACAGTTCTAAGATGGGAGGGGAATTTGCTTAACCTGTAAACTATTTTTCTGCATCTTTCAAATTTTCCTATATTGAGAATATTTGTTAATTTTAAAGTGTTTAACAACACTTAAAAAAGGGTAGTTAGCACAGTATGTGTACTAAATGAATTTCAACAATGATTCTCAAATCTTAGTTGTTTTTCCACTTCCAGCAGATAGAGAATGAGAAATATTTCACTGCTTTTTTCTTCTTCTCTATATGTATGGCAAGGGCTATTAATAGAAGGGTAGAGAAGTATAAAGGTATTTAATTGGGCCTTGAATTAGAAATTAAAGGGTGAATGTTAGCTAGTAGAAAGTATGCTATGAAATCTGAGCATCATGGCTTTATAAATAGGACACAGAACACAATATGACTTTCATTTGTAAGTTATCTATAAACTATATGCATTAAAATATAAATTAAAAACTTGTAAAATATTTATAAACATTCAGATTGATAGCTCTGTTAGAATGTGATCTTGTTGGCATGCTGATACTGTTCTTTTTAAAAAAATTTTATTGAAGTATAGTTGATTTTCAGTGTTGTTAGTTTTAGCTGTATAGCAAAGGTGATTCAGCTTATATATATATATATAAGCTGTATATATATACATACACATATTATTTTTCAGATTTTTTTACCATTATAGGTTATCATATTTAGTATACTTCTGATATGTTCTAATAATAAAGTTATCTAGATTCAGACTTCAAGTATAGTGTATGCATGCATGTATGCTAAGTCCCTTTAGTCATGTCTAACTCTTTGCAACCCTATGGACTGTAGCCTGCCAGGCTCCTCTGTCCATGGGATTCTCTTGGCAAGAATACTGGAGTGGGTTGCCATGCCCTCCTCCAGGGGATCTTCCCAACCCAGGTCTCCTGCATCTCCTGCATTGGCAGGTGGATTCTTTACCACTAGCGCCACCTGGGAAGCCTGAAGTATACTATAAGGATATATAAAGAGAAGACTGAATTCTCTGGGTGGTCCTACAGGCATTAAGACTCTCTGTTCTATCCTAATTTTTGTAGACTTATAAATGGTAAAGTCCCAGGGCTTCGTGGAGGGAAAGATATCATAAATTAGGATTTGGCTTTTTTTTTTTATAACTTTTACATTTTGAATAGAAGCCACTGGAGATCATAGAAAGAAAGAAAAAGTGTAGAGTCGGTTCTTGGAAGATTTAAATGGAATTAGCTGTGGAGTCATTGAATATAATTAAAAGGGCAGTTTCAATAAAGTAGAGAACACTTTTGGAAGACAAGGGGCTGCAGGAAATGAGAAAAATAGGAATGAAAAATAGGCCCAATGAACTCTGTAAATAAAGATAACTAGAGTATAATAAAGGGGTCTATATCAATAATAGACTAAAACACAAGCCACTTTAGGTGGTGAGATACCTATAAATATTTTCATTAAAATAAGAATAAATAAGCCTAAAGCAGAAAGTTTCTTAAAACAGCTATTTAAAGAACTACCCATATAATGTGGTGTGTATATATAACTACATTTATTAACAGGCATTTTAATTTCATTAACAGGCTTTAAAATGGGAACTTTGTCCTGTAACGGTCATCTCCTGGCTAAATCTTTTCCTCCAAGTTGATGCTCTTAAAGATGCTCCTAAAGTTCTTCTACCTCAGTATTCTCAGGAAAAGTTCATTCAAATTGCTCAGGTATTGATATTTTTATTGTATATATGCTAATGTTATTAATTACAGGTTTTGTTTAGTGTATTTCTTTAGTGTTAAATAGGCTGTACAACCAAATGACAGCATACTGAATTAAATTCACTCCTTAACTGACTAGAACAAAACTCCTCATGCATAAAATTCTGTCCCAGTATTTATATTGCTAACTGAAAACTCTAGAAAAGTTTTTAAACTTGAGTTTAAATATATCATGAGCACTCTTCACTAGGAATATGAATGAGGTAGACAGTTAAATACCTCTTTTTGATTTAACACAGAGAGGTATTTTTCGGCCAGTTGTTTTAGGTTTTAAATGGTATAAAATTACTGCAATATAATTATCTTACCATCTTATATCTGAATACATATGGAACCTATTTTACATATTGGAATTAAAATCACCTAATTTAGTTATAACATTATTTAAAAATTTTAAGTTCAAACTTTCCTAGGCCAGTGTGTAACAAATATTCTAAGAAAGTACCGGAGGAGGGTACTATTCTTTCCTGCCTGCTTCTCATAAGTAGAATAATCAGAACTATAAAGGTCTGGCTTAAAGACCCTTTCTAGGCCAAAACTCTGTAGCAGCTCCCTTTTTAAAAATATGAGGGAAAGATATTCCTTATTTCATATTTTTTGTGTTCTGAAATACTGGAGTTCCACAGAAAAGTAATACTTTCTCACTCAGTATTTGTAAATTGTTTCCTGTATCCAGAACATTTTCTACCCCCCAGTCTCTCTGGCTGCCTCCTGATTTAAGCAGTCTTCCCTGCTCTGGATCAGGGCACTTCCTAATAGGATATGCATGCTACATTGTAACAGTCCTTTACTTGTCTGTTAACAAGACTGGGACACTTCCTTTGGATGGCAGTTTACTTCTCTTTGGATACCTGCAATTTTAGCAATTCTTGGCATATGGCCCACATCGTAAGCACTCTAAAATGCTAGCTGACTAATGACATGTAGTATTCATTCTTTCCTAAATTCTTACACTTTTTCCTCTGTTAGCTTTTAGATCTGTGTATTTTAGCCATCGATTCATTAGAGTTCCAGTACAGAATACTGGCTGCTGCTGCCTTGTGCCACTTTACCTCTATTGAAGTGGTTAAGAAAGCCTCAGGTAAGACCCGTGTATTTTGTTCTTTCCTTACACATTTACAACTCTTGAAGGGACTATTTATGAACTTAGCATCCTGCTACACAAGACTTTAAAATTTTAATGAAAAAAAGCAGTTTAACAATTATCTTCCCTTCTATTATAAGTAGTTTCTAATCCAGTGTATATCCACAAATAAAAATTAAGGTTGGGACTTCCCTCGTGGTCCAGTGGCTAAGATTCCACGTTCCTGATGCAGGGGGCCAGGTGCCTCCCTGGTCAGGGATCTAGATCCCACATGCTGCAACTAAGACCCGGGGCAGCCAAATAAGTAAGTATTTTCTTAAAATAAAAATGAAGTCAAATGGAATTTAAATCCTTTTGAAGTTAGTCACTGTGATTATAGCTCTGTCTTAAGTTTTTGGTTTTTGACAGTTTCAATTCCCCATGTAGCATGTACTGGCTAAAAAGCTCTAAGTCTTTTTCTCCCTCAAAATAGTCACAATATAAAGTTGGAGAGGAATAATGTTTTGACTTGCTAAACTTATTGATTTTGGTTTATTTTATGTGCTTGTTTTGGTTTCCTTTTTACATGAGTTTTTAATTAACTATCTTTAAATTTTCAAGCACAAGCAAATACAGTAATCATGTTTCTGATATAACAGAAACATATGTATGTATTTTTCTAATGATACAAGTATTTTTCTAACTTTTCTTTATCTAGGTTTGGAATGGGACAACATTTCTGAATGTGTAGACTGGATGGTACCTTTTGTCAGTGTAGTAAAAAGTACTAGCCCAGCGAAGCTTAAGATTTTTAAGAAGATTTCTATGGAAGACAGACACAACATACAGACACATACAAATTATCTGGCTATGCTGGTATGTTTCTTGTATTTTTTGGTCGATTTAATAAGGCACTGAAACTGACAGTAAGGATACTAATGGAGTAATATTTCAGGCAGTTATATAAGATAGTAAGGGGATAGAAAGTTCCAGTGAGGACACTGATTTCAAATGTAGAAAACCTAATAAAAATTAACTTTGACGTCAAATCAAGATTTGACTTAAGTGTCAAGATTAATACCAGTGCTCCAGGTAGAGTTTAAAAATACAAGTTGCAGGCAGTTAATATTGTTGAACCTCTAGAATATGACTACTCACAGTTGTAAAGACATAAAGAGACCATTATATTAAGCCTAAGAGTCTGGTTTGACTTTGTTTTATCATGTCAATGCTTCATCTTAGCTGTTAATCTCTGCATGATTTCTTCACGTGTATAGGATGAAGTAAATTATGTAAACACCTTCAGAAAGGAGGGACAGTTGTCACCAGTGTGCAATGGAGGCATTATGACACCACCGAAGAGCACTGAAAAACCACCAGGAAAACACTAAGAAAGTTAACTGAGCAAACAACTGGGAACTGATGAAGTGCTGCACAGCATTTCATGGAACTTAACTACTTAAGTTTTACAGGAAAACAGTGCTGTGACTGTCCTGCCAATTCAGAAGTTTCACTGCCATTCTTTTGATTTAAAAACCACTTAAAATTGGCACTAAGGAGGAAATGTATTTAATTCCCATGTTAGCTGTTTAAAGAAACAGCAGTACTTGTTTACAAAGATGACTTCATTCCCAGTACTGGCTGGATAAAAGCCAGCCACGATTTGTGCCATAACAAGTCTTTGACCCAGTGTTGCTATGTTTATCTTGATAAACTAAGAATTTCATCATTGGAATTTTCAACTAGATAACTGTTATCTTAAAGGGTATATTAAATGATACAGTACTTTGAATCTAGTTTTTAGGTTCTCAAAATTTATAAACTCTTAACTAGTGCAATTTGGTTCTTGAAAATAAAATTTAAACTTGTTTACAAAGGTTTAGTTTTTTAATAAGGTGACTAATTTATCTATAGCTGCTGTAGCAAGCAAGCTATTATAAAACTTGAATTTTTAAAAAATGGTGAACTTTCATCTGTTTGACTATTTTTATTTGCCTTGCTATATAAAACATTTTTAACCAGTAAAGCTTAGATGAACATGGTGTTTAAACTGTACTCTGAACAGTGGGAATACCAAAGAAATTATAAACAAGATAAATGCTGTGGCTCCTACTTGGGGCTTTGACATAAAGGTTGCTTTATAATAACTCTTTGTACATCACAATTGGGGCGAAAAACTTAAGTACCCTTTCAAACTATTTATATGAGAAAGTCACTTTATTACTCTAAAAAAAATCTTTAGAGTTATCTTAATTTAGTGTGACTAAGGCTTTATTTATATTTACAAAACTGCTAAGGTCCTTTTTAAATTCTTACATTATGAGTTAAGGACAGTGTCAAAGTGATAAAGCTTAACACTTGACCTAAACTTCTATTTTCTTAAGGCAGAAAAGCAGTAAATGTATACTGACTCCTAGAAATCTATTTATTTAAAAAAAAAGCAACAAAACCTTGACATAAGAACTTACTGTATATAGCTACTCCTACATAAATATTCTAGTTTTTTTAAAAATGAAATGTCAGCCTCAAAAGTAGATTAGAAAATTATCCTATCTAGATTTACTAGTTTATTGTTATTGAACATGTGACTCTTTTTCCTTTGAAGAAATTATAAATTTAAGCTATTGTTATGGTATGAAGTCTTCTGTATAGTTTTCATTTTTAAACTAATATGTTTCAGTATTCTGTCTGAAAAGAAAACGCCACTAAATATGTACATATGTATTATATAAACTTAATCTTTTAATACTGTTTATTTTTAGCCCATCATTTAAAAAATAAAAGTTAAAAATTGTAACTAACTGCTTAAAAGTAAAGTTTCGCCATTGCTTGGAGAAACTTTTTTTTCCTTCTCTGCGCTGCCAGCTGTAACACTTCTTCTGGGTTGCTTGCATTCAGTTCTGTCTGGCCGATGGCTTTGATCTTCCAAAACAAAAAAGTGATGTTGTTAGAGGTCTGGTCAAAAACAAAGCTTTGCTAGTATACATAATATAAAACTACCTATTTGCTAACAACGATAACTGAACCTCTAATTGTAGATGCTAAGAGGTGTAGAAGAAATTAACATAAAGACTGGAAGCACTCAAAGAAAAGACCAATTACCATAGTTTGTGGAATTATCTTCAGAATATTAAGTAAATTCATTTATGTTTATCTGACTAAAAATATCACTAAATAAAGTCTGCATGTAATCTGACACATTTTTAAAAGATTCTAAAAAATAATTCAAAAAAATAAAAATTCATATTTGGGGGCTTCACTTTTTACATATGTAAAAATAGCTAGTTGCTCAGCACTATATATAATGACCCACCTCTTTCATGATTAGAAAGAAATACTTCAGCCTGATAAAAATCTATAGTAGTATTCTGCCACGGAATGTTTTGTGAGAGCATGTTTTAAGACCTTAAAATTACCTTTAAAGAAGCTGTATTTTTAAAAACAACAGACTATTTGAAAGGTAGCCTGAAGGAAGCTAAGACTATTCAGAAATGATCAGGTTAGTGGGTAGGAGGACTTGCTGATAATGCTATTTCAATATGAAAGAATGCATATGAAAAAACCTAGTAGTGGGGAATAACTAGAGTTATTTCAAACAAAATATCCTGAAGACAACTGGCTAAAAAAATCCAAAGTCTAACACAGAAATTGGACAGAGAACAAACTTATGGATAACAGTGTGGGGGGGATGAATTTGGGATTGACATATATACACTACTACATATAAAAAAATAACTAATAAGAACCTACTGAATAGCAGGGAAACTACTCAGTGCTCTGTGATGACCTAAATGGAAAAGAAATCTAAAAAAGAAGGAATACACATATATATATGTATATAACTGATTGACTCTGCTGTATAGCAAAAACTAACAGAACACTGTAAAGCAACTGTATCCCAATAAACATTTTAAGAAGACAGAAATTGGAATAGGAGGCAGATATTTGAGAGAAATAACACACCCTAAGTGGGTAGTGGTCAAAACCGTAAGTGGATGAAGTTACCTAGGGAGAATGAAGGGCAATCATGAAATACCCAAGGACTAACTTCTTGACAAAAACCAAGGTTCGGGGTAGATGTGGAAATATCCACAAAGAAGAGAAGGCTGAAGAGTCAGGGAGAAGAAATGAGTATAAATGATGTTAAGGAAGCCAAAGGAATAATTTCAAGAAAGGAAGGAGATGTAAACAACAGAATAAAGATTGAAAAGTATTCACTGCCTTTGGCATTTGGTGTCCCTTGAAAACAGTGAGGGACAGGAGAAATCAAACTGTACTGGGTAAAAGCGCCCAAGAAACTAGGCAGAGGGGACAAAGAGGTAGAGGCACAGTCAAGATAAGTTTTTATTAAGGAGGAAATAGTTTTTAGGTTTAATGGGAGTGCTTGACAATATAAGAGAGGAGATACCAACTCAAAGGGATAGAATGACTGAAGGGATAGAATCAAAAGCATAAAAATGTATCTTCATAAAGGAGTAGCATAAACTTATACTGAGTACAGTGGCGATTATTTCAAAGGTGGAAAGCAGGGATCTGAAACAGGAATTTGAAGCTGGCACTCACAGGGCCGTAACTCCCAAGACTATAACTTTCACCAGGACAGGAACTAGTCAGTGTTTTTTTTCTTGTCTACTTCAAACACAAGGAAGTTAGTGAAAATGGAAAAAGGAGAGAGAAGACAGGGCTTAATAGGGCAAAAGTCTAAAACATTCCCGAAAAAGAAGGCACACCATTGACCACTGGCAGGTAGACAAAAGAAATCAGGGGCCAACTAAGGTTGCAGGCCATGGGGTCCACAGGCCAGTGTCTGCTGTACTCCAGGCCAGGAGGAAAGAAGGCAAAGGGAAAGGGGTGACAGATTAGGGAATACCTGGTCATGAACTTGAACATCCCGTGATGATGAGAAATATGAAAGTCAAGAGGTAAGAAAGGGACAGATTATTGGCACAGAGATCTTCATAGAGCAAGTCTGTCAAAAAGGCCTGGCTATGGATACTGGAGGCTGATGAACAGTAAAGACGACAATGGAACTTGGAATGTTGGGGAGCTAGATAAGTCGATTATACATTTTTTGATGTATGCAGAGGAACAACTAGGTTAGTGTCTACATGAGCTAGTAAGGAGGCAGGTTTAAGCTTCCAAGGAGGGGCTTAAAAAATGATACAAGTAGAGGCAGTCTGGAAATCTCATCAGGGTACTGAGAAATTTTCAGCATTACCTTCCAACCCTGGTTAAGTTATAAACGAAAGAATGAGTAGCTTCCAATAAAGTGGAACTGGCACTATATTCTCTTGTCTTTTTTTTTAAGATGCTGTTGTCACTCTGTCGCCTCTAAATAATGGCCATACAGTTTAGTCCAAATAGAAAGCTCTAATATATCAACAACCTCAGATATGCAGATGATACCATTCTAATGGCAGAAAGTGAAGAGGAACTAGATGGCCTCTTGATGAAGGTGAAAGAGAATGAAAAAGCCAGCTTAAAACTCAACATTCAAAAAACTAACCTTATAACATCCAATCCCAACACTTCATGGCAAACAGAAGGGGAAAACATGGAAGCACTGAAATTTCATTTTCTTGGGCTTCAAAATTACTGTGGATGGTGACTGCAGCCATGAAATTAAAAGACCCTTGCTTCTTGGCAGAAAAGCTATGACAAACCTGGGTAATGTATTAAAGAGGAGAGACATCACTTTGCCAACAAAGGTCCTCATAGTCAAAGCTGTGGTTTTTCCAACAGTCATATATGGATATGAGAGTTGGACCGTAAAGAAGGCTGAGTGCTGAAGAACTGATGCTTTCAAACTGTGGTGTTGGAGAAGACTCTTGAGAGTCCCTTGGACTGCAAGGAGATCAAACCAGTCACTCCTAGAGGAAATCAACCCTGTATATTCATTGGAAGGACTGATCTGAAGCTCTAGTACTTTGGCCACCTGATGGGAAGAGCCAACTCATTAGAAAAGACCCTGATGCTCGGAAAGACTGAAGACAAAAGGAGAAGGGGGCAGAGGATGAGATGACTGGATGGCATCACCGACTCAATGGACATGAACCTAAGCAAATTCCAGGAGACAGTGAAGGACGGAGGAGCCTGGCATGCTGCAGTCCATGGGGTCGCAAAGAATGGGACACAACTCAGTGATTGAACAACAACAGGAAAGTAATGATTTCTAAGAAGGTGACATCTGAGGAGAAACCTGAGCAAAGTTGAAAAAGAATGTTCCTGAAAGAGAAAATGTGACAGACACTTCGGTGGTGAATGTTCTTGGCATGCTCAAAGAACGATAGGGGTACTGGGGTAGCAGAACTTAGCAAAGGGGAGTCAAGTGACTAGCTGGAGGTCAGGTCACTCTCGACCTTGCAGACCACTGTAAGGACACCAACACGGT